AAACTCCCTTGTACAGTACACAAAGCCTGAAGGATTTACAATCTGACCCTTTACAGAAAAAGAAAATTCCAACCCTTAAGGAGCCCTGGTGGCACAGTGGGCTACATATTGGGCTGCTAACTACAACGTCAGCAGTTCCAACCCATTAGCTGCTGCGGCCATCAAAGACGGACGGTGGCACTTTCTGCTTCCTCGGTGCTTCCCAGCCTCAAAATCCCTGTGTAGTCGCTGTAAGTCGGAACCGACTCAATGGCTGTCTGTTTCTGGTTTACGGCTTAAGTTACTTTGCAAAGAGAAACTACAACACTTTGAAAACAGGAACAAATACTTTAAAAAACAAATCGGAGATACTTGTTCAGCTTACTTTAAAAGAATTCCGCCATATGAAAAAGAGGATGAGGAGGGGGAGCTGTTTCAAAACAAAAGGAATAGGCTCCAAGGGAGTGTCTAAGAGCCTTTAACAGATTGCATATTCGTAATAAGGAAAATACTCCCTCATAGAGAGAAATAATCATCTAAGAGGGTCAAGTTAAGTGAATACATTAATAACAAATTGCTGAGAAAGAGAATCGCCATTATAGAAAAAAGCTCACTTAGTTCTCAACGATGGAAGAAATACACAGGCTGGGTCAATAAGAAAAGCACTGGCAGGGCAAGGCCACACCATTAAGGCAGGTGTGCAAAGAGAATTAGAAATACTGCATGGTTTACAATCAGGAAAGGTGTGTGTCAGGGTCGTATCCTCTCACCATACTTGTTCAATCTCTATGCTGAGAAAATCGTAAGAAAAGCTGGATTAGATGAAGGAGAATGTGCAGTAAGTATTGGAGGAAGGCAATTCATAACCTGCCCTATGCAGATGACACAACCTTGCTTGCTCAAAGTAAGAGGCATTGAAGCACATACTGGTGAAGATTAAAGAATGTAGCCTTCAGAATGGATTACAATTCAATGTAAAACAAGACCAAAATCCTCATAACTGGATCAATAGGTAACATCATGATAAATGGAGAAAAGGTTGAAAGTGTCAAGGATTTTTCTTGCTTGGATCCATATTCAATGCTCATGGCAACAGCAATCAAAAGATCAAAAGACGTCTTGCAGTAGGTAAATGTGCTACACAAGATCTCTTTAGAGTACTGAGGAGCAAGGATGCTCCTTTGAGGACTGTGGTGCGCCTGACCCAAATCATGGCATTCTCCACTGAAACATGGTATTCTCCAAGGAAGATCAAATTAGAAAGGTGGCATTTGAATTAGGGAGTTGGAAAAGAATATTGAATGTACCATGAACTACTAAAAGAACAAACTGATCTCTTGGAAGAAGTAAGGCCAGAGAGTATGGCAAGACTTCCTCGTATATCTTTGGATATAATACCAGGAGAGACCAGTCCCTGGAGAAGGACATCATGTTTGGTAAAGTGGAAGGGCAGTGACAACAAGAAAGGCCTTCAACAACAATGAACTCGGACACAGGAACAAGCCTGAAGACAGCACAGGACTGTGCAGTGTTGGGTTCTGCTGTGCATAGGGTCGCTATGGGTCGAAGCTGACTGGATGGCACCTAATAAGAACAACAAATAACTGCCAGTCTGTCACATTGTGCTGGCTTTGTGTGTTGCTGTGGTTCTGGAAGTTAATGTCACTGGTATTTCAAATGCCAGCAGCGTCACCCAAAGTGAACAGGTTTCAGCAGAGCTTCCAGACTAAGAACATACAGTGAGGAAGGACCCAGCTCCCCAGTTCGGGGAGAAAAGACATTAAAAACACAAATAGTAGAGGTGAAAAATGCCAGGTTTGAGGCTAGATAGAAAGCTTTAAACAGGCTTTTCAGGACTTTTCTACATCGGTAAGCAAGTCAAGGGACAAAAAGTAACAATTTTCCTTGGGATAGAAATAAATAACAGCGTTCAATTTTTTTAAAATCACAGTTGTGATTTAATGAAATAAAAGCATTCGTTTCCACTAAGTACATATATGAAATTTACATGTAAACTGAACACTGTATCTTATCCATTTAACTAAGTTTGTGTATGTGTGTGTTTAGAGAGAAAGCCTGATAACACAGTGGCTTAAGTACTGGGTTGCTACACACACACACATACACTAATCATGAGGATGCCGTAGGACTGGGTGGTGCTTCATTCTGTACATAAGGATGAATTAGAACTAGGTAAAACTGTGAGTTGGAACCAAGTTGATGACAACTTAAAACAAGTATTAGCCACCCAATCTTTAATCCACTATGCCACCAACCAGGGCAGTATCCACATGTTCTCTCTCTCTCATACTTATATATATATATACACACACACATGCATATATGAGGGGGAACCCCCCCAAAAAGGGAAAAAAGCTCCACTGGGTGGAGCACTCATAGTATGTATTTTTCTCACAAAGTGAACATCCAGCACCTCACTCTGAGTTAGTGCACCAAGTGGTGTCAACTGAAGGTTCTCTCTGGTCACAATGAATTTTTTCTTATTTTGCTCAAACCTTGTTTTTTGTGATGGCCAATTTAAGAGAACAGGGTGTGTCTATGAAATTGTTTCCTGCTCGGGAAAAATGTCACAGAAACTGTTGTGAGGTTGAACACAGCTTACAAGGACAGCTCTATGGGAAAAACTCAAGTGTACAGTGATGTTCTCATTTCAAAAAAAGTGAAATGTCGATTAGTGACAAACCTCATTCTGCACATCCGTCAGCTTACCAAAAGGATGAAAATGTTGACAAAATCCGTGCACTTGTGCTCAAAGACTGATGATGGACCATTGAAGATATAGGGAAGTTATCTGGACTATCTTGGAGCTCAGTGAATTTTAACAGAAGATTTGGGAATGAGAGTTGTCACTGCAAAATTTGTCCCTCGGGTTGACTGACCAAGAAAAAGAACGTCAAATGGAAACATGCTGTACTTTGAAAGAACAGCTCCGAAGCGACCCAGACATTTTTTCCAATGTCATTACTGGTGATGAGACATGGTGCTGTTCTTACGACCCCGAAAGCA